ACTGGAGAAGCAGGGTGTAACTCTTTGCCCATCTCAAAATTAACTCCACTGTAATAGTGACTACTGTTGCTACTGCTGCTGTTATTACCACTTCTACTGTTGGATGGTTTTATTCTTGTTTCTCCCTTCAAGAATTCAGTTTTATATTCCTTGCATAGAAACATCCAGCTTATAATGTAGTACGAGGCTAATTCAGGGGATTTGCAAGCTAAATGCATGAGAGTATATGTTATTGTCTGCTTATATGTTTCTGGTGTGCAAGAGTCAGCTACATACAAATATATTGATTCATCTTCATGGCATATATGAATTTTAATTAGTACCTCAGCATATGCAACACAACATGCGGTATGCACATTTACACACAATTACCTGTAAGTGTGTGTGTGTGAATGGATGCATGACTGCATACATTAGAAAGTATATTCGTAGGCATGAGTGGAAGTTTACACAAATGTTTCAGTCTGTATATAGATGTGTAACATAGTGTGTATGTAAATCTGTCTTCATAGATAGAAATCTATACATGGCACTTGTAAAGATGTAGTATAACTGTTGTTGTCATTAGCCAAATAATGGATACATCATCTGTGAAGATCTCAGATCTAGACCTGTCTGTGAGTGTGTGTGGGGAAAAAGGATAATTTTATATTTGGGAATTTATCCAATATTCTGATAACTTATTTAAAAACAATTTGTTTTAATTATTCAGAAATTCACTCAACAGTAAAAATAATATTGGTGAGTGAATTTCTGAATGATAATAAAAAAAAAAACAATATCGAATATTTTTATTTTAAATAACTTTCGTGGGCGTCATTTTTTTTTTTTTTTAGTCTTCTTAGCTTATGTGTAAGTATATATCAATAAGAAATAGGAAAGTGTCAAGTAAATTAAATTATACAAGCGTTAATTTATGAATGTGTGTATGCGCGTGTGTTAATTCAATTGAGTGTTGTTGTTGTACCTGTCGATAGATGTGTTTTTAGTTTGTTGTTATGTATGTAGGTGTGTATCCATATGTTTGTAATTAAGGCTGTAAGTACTTTGTCGTTGTTAGTAAATTCTCTCACTCTGAGAGTGTAACAACGTGTGCCTTATTGGATATACTAATTCCGACTCATTCATTTAGGGCTTAGGCTGACACTTAAAAAAATCATTTCCACAACAGTTGGGCTCTACCCTCTGTCTTAAAGAAGACATCTGTAATGTCAACAAACTCTCTTATTAATTAGAGAAGAAAAAAAAAAGTTTAACAAGTTTACAATCCATTCGCCGGAGGTTTATTTACTAATACATGGTTAAAGTTATAATTCAATTGGCTATCAGTTCCATCGGGAAGTGACAATTTTTTCTGTACCTTTTCCCAATTATTCAGTTATTTTACAATACATCAATAGTTGAGTAACACACTGAGCTTTCTTCTTTTTTTTTTTTTGTAAGTAGTTAAAAAAGAAATAATACATGTATTGTTGCAACAGATGGTGTGGATGGTGATTATAAAAGTACTGTCAAAAATGGACGCTACCTTTTAAGTATTTATTTAAAAAAAAAACAACAAAAAACAATCTGTGTATGTATGTACAGTCGATTATAACAGTCAGACAACACTCAACAGGTATATGTGTGTACCCCAACATACACACACGTAAACTAAACAGAGAAATGTCATAAGTATACATGTGGTCTGGGTACACAGACAAAACACAGTGTTGGTTTCGTTTCTTGAGAAGTGTAAGTAAATATTAAACACAATTCCGACCAGTCATATAAAGGAAAGCTTTATGTCGCACTGCACCGGTTTAGTGTGGGGGAAATTAAACTCGACTGAACCAGAGAGGGAGAGAGGCTACAACGTGTGTGTGTGTGTGTGTGTGGAATGGCCTAAGAAGAAGAAAAACAAGAAATACTAATAAATAATCACTAACTGGTTGTGTTATATACCTTCGTCTTGTATGTTTTCTCCCTACTCATCAGGAAGAAAAAAAACTTGATTATTTAGAGGTGTGACAGCAAGTTGTTTTTTTTTTTAACCGCTTGTTGCTTATTCGTTCTTCTTTATTAACTGGCCATATGGCTATGCGTAACAATTGCATCATCAACTGACATTTTAAAAGGGACAGGTAAATAAATAAATAAATATATATTATTTCAAAGGAACAAGAAAAACAACGGGTATGTTTACAAGTACACGGTCTATTCACGACACCGTTATTTTCTATAATAATGTAACTATGGATTTTTTCCACTTCCTGATCAGCCATTGAAGATGTGTCAAAGCTGGGCTTCGAAGAACTCTGTCTGTGATAATAGTTGATTTTTTTTCCCCTACCATTATTGCCATCTATAAAAATAATGCAAAGACGAATGCTGCAGCCATTGTATCGTACTGAAGTGGTTGTTTTGCCTTTTTCCAGGAGTGAAGAACCCGTGACGTCAAATATGGATATATCAACTGGACATATAGTCCTGGTAAGTACAATTTATCTTTTATGGGTTGGGGATGGTCGGTCGGAAAGATTATTGGCATATTTGGAAATTCTTTTCCATCATTAATATATATATATATATATATATATATATATATATATATGGTAAAAATGAAACGTAAATTTGCAATTTTCAAGAATTTTATTTTATGGCATCATGAAAAGTACTTTTTAATTTTTCAATAATTTAGGATTTAAAATGGTCAGTATCTTTCTGAAATGAATGTTTTAATAATAAAATTAACTTTTTAAAAAGTTAAAAAAAATACTGTCAAAAAGTTTTTTGAAGACCGTTTTTCCTGTTTTATTTATTTATTTATTTAAGTTCGGAATTTTTTCAGATTTTTTTTACTGAACTTTTTTTTTTAAAAAAAAAAACAGAATCTGTAAATTGTAAAAATTGATAATCTTTATTAATTTAATTGTGAAACGAGAGATTTTTTAACTATGCTGAAAAAAAAATGCATATTTTACTTACTGTGTATTAATTCACATTCTGCTACAGAAAAAAAAATAATGGATAAAAAAATCAGTCAATACCTGCCAACAAAACAACGTAACATTCAAATCAGACTCTTGTTTCCACACTTGTCTGTTAAAGGTGACAGAACTAAGAAAATCCTGCTAGTTATAAACTGAGAATCCAAGAGTTGTGTAAAAATAATAGCACTTCTTTCGTTTTTGTTGGACACTCCCATGTTTTATTTATTTATTTATTTTTTGCCTTCGTTTATCAAACATATGTGATAGTTCGTTTTTCCGCTTGTCTCTATTCTGATCAATATTGTCATAGCAACCAGAGAGAGGTGCTTCTAAATCCGAAAGGCCCTCTCTTACTTTCTTTTTTATTTTTTTATGGGGAGATGGCTTTGGTTGTGATGAAGGGTGGCGTTTGTTTGCCTCATCAATAGCAGGTGTTGAAGCAATGGGATGAAGTATTCTCCCTTCCAATTCACGTCATCTATGTGTGAAATATACCTGGTCCATTGCGGCTATCCATCCACTTTCGTAAATCTTTTTCTCACTTTCTAGACAGAGAATTCTCTCTTTTTTAACAGTAACACCTTCAATTGTTTTTTGTTAAGTGGTACTTCCCACGTTCTATGTCTATGATGACCATTATTGCCCAGTGTCAGTAAAACAGACAACATTATTTATTTATTCATTCTTTAAAAACCTTTATATATCTTTTTCTTCTGGTGATTTATGTTTCACTTTCAGTGTCTCAAAATGTGTAAAAAAGTAAAACTGTTTGGTTGGTGCAGTTTGCTTCATAATTAATTGTGATGATGCAATTCTTCCCAACCCATTCATCTCTACTCAAAGTTGATTGAGCATGAGCTTAGAAACAATTCTTTTTTTTTTTTTTTACGTACAAGTCAACTGCATTATTAGTGTGCTATATCCACGCATGCTGAGATAAAACACCAAACAAAAAATACAATGGCGAAGGTACTCGTCGTTAGATACGTTCAACGACATTGTCAGTCTTTGTAATGTTTTTTTTTTTTTTTGTTTTTAAACTTTTTTTTTCATAGCTTTTTGTAAAGAGAACATTATGAAAGCTAATTATATTTATACTAAAACGTCTGTGCATCTCTTTGATCCAATCCGAATAGTTTGTTTGGATTAAAAAAAAATATATAAAGAAGGGCGTTTATCGGCTACACCGTACATGTGGTTTAAATAAATACATCTATCTCGCATTCATAAATTTCAGTTAAGGTTTTTTTTTTCCAATTTTGTGATGTAAAGATTCTCAGTGTTGTGTTTTTCATTTTTTTTTTTAATTATGTTTTTTTATTTTTTTATTATGCAATAATGTAAAATTATTTCACGATAACTTGACACAGTAAACATTTGTTTGTGTAGTAAGAAGATTTAATTTTTACACCTTTAAATAAAATTTCTGTTAAGTCTTTTGCATTTGAAAACTCTTACCATTTTCTTATTTCTCAAACCAAACCTTTTATACTTCAGTTTAATAATATTATTTACCTGGCCCTTATTCTAGAAATCAGATGATCCGTTTCTCCAAGCAGTACCTTCCCATTGCACCAAAATGGGAGTAGGCTCAGGGTATTTCTTTGTGTCTGGGGAAAGCCAAAAGACAAGTACTGAAGGAACTGGGCAATTCTTGTCCTCCACTCCAGATACAGATGTACAAGGAATGTAATGGTCAACAACATGAAAGGAGAAATTAGAAAGCTGAGTTGAAATTATGGCTGAGTTTGTTATGTTCACTCTCACACAAATGTCCTTGGGCAAAGGTATGAATCCATCTCTTCTCCCCACAGATAAGGATTAAATAATAGGGCTGACTAGGCTTTCTAGCTTTGAGATGATTGACCAATCTAGGAGAATTCAAATCCAGTCAGAAGTGGGATGGGTTTTGTTAGGGTATCATGCCCAAGGCACTGTTGCTTCTATAGCTGCTATAGATGTGGTAACCCTATAATCTAATGCATTACAGAATGCCATATACATATTGTGTTCCCAACTTTTAAAAATGGCCCAGTACCATACCCTATTTCCAGGAAAGAATCAATAAATATACAAATTTACAGAGAAATCATTTTTTACTATGGAAGTTTTATGCAATAAAAACAAAAAAAGAAACACAAATTAAAGTTGTGTATATCATTTCATTTTCAAATATCAACAACTCTAATGATTAAAACTCATCACTGAACAAATAATCTATTCCTAGAATATAATAAAAAAACAGCCTAACTTTATAGATTTATTGGTCACACAGCCTGATCTACACTACTTACTAATGAGATATTCCGTTCTTGTGATAACCAACAAAGGATACCAATAAGGGAACATACGTTGTGTTATAACAACGGAATATCTCATTAGTCAGTAGTGAGAAAAGTTTCCTAATAAATTGATTTTTTTCCTTTCTTTCTAATTACCTTTCTGAGGGCATTAGAAAGAAAAAAAAAACCTTTCTTACATATGACAATAGCATTAAGTGTATAGATAAAAATCCTAGATTACTCATGCAGAAAATATAAGCAATACAATTTCAAAATTACATATTTTTATCATTTTTTTGACAGTAAAAATAAACTATACATGTATAATCCTCATTCTGCTGGTAATGCTTACATTAATTGCTGACCTCTGACAATCCCTTTCTTCCTGATTTTCAGTAGATAACATTAAATGCTGAAAATTGCTAAAGCAAATTTTCTGCCATAATTTCCAAATCTAAATCTTTTATTTTATTAATGCAGAAATTGCCGAAATGTTAATTGAGAAAGTGAAGTAAAAGTATAACCAAAAAGGCCAAACCTTGCTTACATATTTTTCTTCTTTTTAATATTCTTTCAGGATGTAGTTGTTAATCGCTCTCCACTTTTCTTTTTATTATCTATGATTTACCATGCCTTCTTGAGAAAAATATTGGAATGGTTTCCTGTTGCCTTCTCCATGGTTTTGAATTCAGATTTTTCCTTCTCCTACACTGGTTGCCACCCAAGGCAGAAAACCCAGTCCACTGTACTATGTAATCCTGAGTTGGGGAGAGAAGAGATGAATTCATGTTCTTCCCAAGGGTATTTGTGCAAAAAGGGAACTCAACAGACTAGTGTAGAATTTGAACACAGCTTGCTGATTTCACTTTCCTCCCCAATACCCACACATCTTTGCCTACATATACCAATTTTAAATGTAGTCACTACTAAAATACAAACATGGTTATTGCTTCTTTTTTTCTTTATACAATTTTCCTTATCACTATATATATATATATATATATATATATATATATATATATATATATATATATATAATCATTACAAAGTTTTTAATAAAATACCAGAGAAAAATGAAAAAAATCTCTTGTTTGATGTGTGTGTGTGGGGGGTTATAACAAGAACCAAAATTCATTGGTCCTCAAAGTTATGTGAATCTATTGAGTTAAAATAGAACATACGTATACAAAAAGTATAATAGAATTTACCATGTCACTATATGTGTATAATCATTAGATAGTTTTGACATATGCTTAATAGGAAACCCTCCCCCATCAATAGTGGAAAGATCAATAATAGCTACTGGACTTGAAAAACCTATTTTCTTGAAAAATTGCTTGAATAGAAAGATTTTATAAATTTCAATTAAAAGCAGTACTGATTGCTTGGTCAGTGAATGCCAAATGTTTACTTGTAGGGAAACCATATGATTACATAAAAAAGCTAGTAAAATTTATTTGTCACTGTAAAGCAGTGGTTCCCAAACTTTTTCTCTGGTCAGCATTTTCAGAATGAAAATTTGCTCACACCTCACCAAATTTTATGTGATAAAAATAACATTAAAAATAAAAAATAGAGAGGGTTAAAGTGAAATAACCATGGATTCAAAGTCAGAACATTATCATTGATAACTCTCTCCTCCAATTTGCAGATCCTTGTTACTATAATTTTTATATACTTGATATAATGCAAAAGTGTCACAATGATAAAATTGGACAATAATTATAACTATTTATACTGGAACTCATACATGCAATTACAAGTCATCCATAATATTTTAAATTTTTAAATCATATTTATTTTTGGCATATGAATTTTTTGAAGCTGTTTCTAAATCTTTGATTATCTTTCAATCATTACGCCTCACCTGCTATCCTCTTCTACTGCACCTATGAAGTGTGCCACACTGTTTGGGAACTACTGCTATAAAGTTTAATAATCGAATAGATTATGTTAATAATAGATTTATTGTATATAGTAGAACATGCACAAAAAGTAATGTTGATTCATTTTTGAACATTCAGTATACATACAAAATATATAAATTTACCAAACTAATTTCATATCAGCACATAAAAATAGAACATATATTGAAGATAGGGAATATTGCAGAACCAATGAAAGTAAGCAATACTCTAATGAAAATGCATTGTACATACAGTACTCAGATACTATAAATATAAATTGGCATATTTGGAAATTCTTTTCCATTATTATATGTATGTATGTATGTATATATATATATATATATATATATATATATATATATATATATATATATGGTAAATGAAACGTAAATTTGCAATTTTCAAAATTTTATTTTATGGCATCATGAAAAGTACTTTTTAATTTTTCAATAATTTAGGATTTAAAATGGTCAGTATCTTCTTTTAATCAAAATGAGTCTTAATAATAAAATTAACTTTTTAAAAAGTTAAAATACTGTCAAAAAGTTTTTTGAAGACCGTTTTTCCTGTTTTATTTATTTATTTATTTAAGTTCGGAATTTTTCAGATATTTTTTTACTGAACTTTTTAAAAAAAAAAACAGAATCTGTAATTGTAAAAATTGATAATCTTTATTAATTTGTGAAATGAAAGATTTTTTAACTATGCTGAAAAAAAATGCATTTTTTACTTACTGTGTATTAATTCACATTCTGCTACAGAAAAAAAAAATAATGGATAAAAAATCAGTCAATACCTGCCAACAAAACAACGTGTCATTGAATGGCGAAATGGAAAGAATAAATTAAAATTCAATTACCCACTATTAGTCTGATATGCAGAATTGTATATCATATCTCCCAAATATAAATGATATATTTTATATATTTGGTTCTTGCAGAAATACCTGATATGAAACATTCACGTTTTGTGTTTTTGTGATCATTCTTGTATCTCTCATCCTTCATGTAGATAATAAAAATCTCATAATTTATTCTGTTTATATGAAAACACCATAAATGTCTCTTAACACTTCCACTGCTGTCTTTACTATGCTGTCAATGTCTTTATGAAACATATTACCTGCTGTTGACACATATGTATTTTCAAGACTGTGAATATCAGTCCCTAATGTTTGTTTATAAACTAACTAGAATTTAGTGCTGTTTCCAAACCTCGACATATAGTAGCATACAATACAACCTATTTTCTAAAATGTTTTTATTATATTATCTGTTAGCAGGGTAGCTTAGTCTGCACTGAAGTGTATTTGATCAAAACCAAAATGGTGGCATGCATAAGAAATTGCTATCAATATCATTATAGTCATTTATTTTCTGTAAATGGCAATTTTCTATTTTTCCAAAAATGGGCCAGCACAGCCAGCCAACAATGCTTGAACAATTGCATCAGAGAAAATATAAGCATTTATTAATACTATACAGCAAGGCAATTCTGAGAGAATTAGATGTCCTACCAGAATTCAGTATTGGCAGCCACAATCTTAACAACATAAGATGACACAAATGTTGATAAGAGACATAGAAAGAAAACTACAAAAGCCCCTACAGAAGATATTGAAGGAAAGTGAGAAGAAAGGACTAAACATAAACATCAGAAAAACAGAATGAATTGTTATTAGCAAAACGATGAGCCAAAAAAAGAAAATTACAAATCAGATATACCAATATCAACCAAGTACAAAAATTTAAATATCTGGGAAGTTTTCTAACAGAGGATAAAAAAATGCAACACTGAAATCTGAAAAAAAAGTATTGAAGTGTTACATGATATCTGTCCTACTGTATGACAGTGAATGCTGTAGAGTCTCCTCAAAGATGAAGAAGATCTTTGAAGCAACAGAAATGTGGATACCATGGACCGAACGTTTGAGCAATGATAAAGTTTTAGAGAAAATGGAAACAAAAAGGAAACTTATACTTAACATCAGGCAGTTAAAATTTCTTGGGCACATAATGAGAAAGGAGGGCTTAGAAAATCTGTTACTCACAGGACAGATTGAAGGAAAGATGGACAGAGGAAAACAAACCATAACATACTTGACAAGCTTGAAAAAATGGATGTCGGAACAGGGTTTAGGAATAATGAAAAGACAGAATTTATTTAGTGCTACAAGGTACAGGAAATTGTGAAGAGCCATGATCACCTACTTCCTGAAGGGATACGGAACATAAAGAAAGAATTTCCAACACTAAAACAAACCACATAGACTTGGCTTCCTATAATTTCCTGTCCTTTATAGCTCTTAATAAATTTTATCATCTCCCTTAAACCCTGTTCTGACATCCATTTGCTCAAGCACACTAGGTAGGTCATGTGTTGTTTTTCTCTCTTCCTTTTGCCTTCAATCTTTCCTGTGAGTATCAAATTTTCCAAGCCCTCTTTCCTCCTCATGTGCCCTAGAACTGTCAATTATCTTTTTCGGATTCTAAGTTTAAGAGTAATTTTTGTTTCAATTTTTTTCTAAAACTGTTGTTGCTTACATGTTTGATTCTCAGCATCGTTCTGTAGAACATTATTTCTGTTGCTTCAAGTCTCTTCTTCATCTGTGAGGAGACTGTCCAACATTCATTGCCATATAGAAGGACTGATATTATACAACAGTTCGGTACTCCTTTCATTGTTTCTAATGAAATTTTCCTGTTTCTTAAAAAGATATTGAGGCTTACAGCCACATCATGTTGAAACACTTGTTCACATATGATCATTAAAGTTAAGCAACATTGAGCCTGGTCAGTACCTAGATGGGTGACCACTTGGGAATACCAGGTGCTGTAAGCATACATGTACAGGTGATATAATGGCTTGGAATTGTTAATTGGAGAGCCAAGTTCCAATTTTCTGGTTTTAAATAACCTGAAAATGGTTGGTAATTGGTAGAAAATGAATGGATCAATTAATCAAAATGTAATTGTGTTTATATATAGAGTTGATTTGTCTGAGGTGATAAAAAGTGGCTGTCATGAATGTACAATTCCTTTCACTAAAGATATTACAATCAACAATGAAATTATTTGTACACCCATCAATTTTGAATATTTTTATACATTTCTCAGAATCTAACACCTGTATGATGCCAGGTTTTTTTATATTTTCTTGTGCTTATTAACACAAGAAAAATGAATATAAAAACTCAATTTTCAGAACAATAGCTTAAATACAACAAATTTGACAGGCGAATTATACAAACTAGGAAAAGACAAAATTATTTGTGCAGTAGAAAATATAATTTTAAATTGATTGATTCATGTAAGTATAAGTAATTTGCTTAATTATTTTATCGGTGAAGACTTCTAGACTATTTATTCGGTAAAATATTTGTGATAATTCCAACAAAGAACATTATGTTGTGCATAGAGTGTCACTATTATCATTCTTACATTAACAATACAATGGAGAAGACAAAGAAGCTTAGTGTTGACTTGGGACAGAGAATTATTAACTTCCACAAGACAGGAAGTAGTTACAGCATTATTTCAAACTGGTTAGCTATCCCTAGATCTACAGTACAGTCTGTTATAAAAAAAAGTTTAAACAGTTTGGCACGACAGAGAATTTGCCTGGGCATGGAAGAAATTGTCACTGAGAACTGCATGAAAACTGTTTCACAAGGTTGATATAAACCAAAGAGTTGTTTTGAAAGACATCGCCAAAAGTTTAGATACGATGGGTATCAGTGTAACTACTTGCACAATACAATGTTTTTTAAATAGAAATGGGTTGTAGGGAAACAAACCACAATGAATCCCTCTTCACAAACCATGTCATTTTGCTGCTCAGTTTAATTTTACCAAAACATTCTTGGACAAAAAAAATTGCTTTTGGGAACATGTACTATGGAGTGATGAAACAAAAATTGAGCTTTTTGGACATAATGATGTACAGAAGATTCGGCGCAAGAAAGGTGAAGCTTTCCTCCCAAAGAACACAGTGGCAACATTAAAACACAGAGGCAGCTTCATGATGTTTTGGGGTTGTTTTAGCTCAAGGGGGATGGACAATTAATTGCAATAAGAGGAATAATGAAATCTGTAGACTATCAGCACAAAATCTTCATCTAGGTCAGTGATTTACTTTCCAGTGAGATAATGATCCCAAACATACATTTAAATCAGTGACTGCGTGACTTTAGACAAAGAAGATTACAGTTCTACCATGGCCTTCAATAAGCTCTGACTTGAATCCTATTGAAAATCTATGGCAAGAATTGAAAGTTTAAATAAATCATTGGTCACCAAAAATCATTGAAGAATGGGAGAAAATCCCAGAAAAGACTTATCCAAATCTAATCAAAAACTTTAGAAAACAATTACAGCAAGTTATAAAGATGAAAGGCCATGCTATTGACTATGAATATTGTGAAAATTATTCAATTTTTTCTATCTTTCATATTGTATGAATAATTTTGTCTATTCCTTGTTTGCATAATTCGCCTGTCAAATTTGTTGTATTTAAGCTATTGTTCTGAAAATTGAGTTTTATATTCCTTTTTTGCACTTATTAACATATAAAAAACCTGGCATCATACAGTCATTAGATTCTGAGAAAAGGATAAAAATATTCAAAATTGATGGGTGTACAAATAATTTCATCATTGAGTGTATATTTTTAACTGATAGAGACCCAGGTTTGAAATGTGACTTCTTTATGGAAATCTGTCTCCAATGCAACACTTCCCAGTTGCACCAATACAGATATACACTGATACCAGTGATAAAAGCCAGTGGGACCAGACAATTTTTTTTTTCTCTGCAACAGATATAGGGTGCACCTTGTAAAACCTGACCTTGTCCTATTTGCCTTCAAGGACAAGCAAATAAATATAAGCTTCCTTTTTTCTTCTTATGATTCCATAATTTAAAATTGTAGACATTTTACATTAGTTTTTAGTGTGAACAAAAAAATCCATTACTTCTTATATACTTTTACAAACTGACTTTTATTTTCTTCATACACCTGCAATTTTTCAAATCATTTGTGTCGATGAATATATTGCAATCAAATAATTTAACATACCTACTTATAACTGTAGCCATATTGAATATATGGTGAGGTGTGCAAATTGAATTACTTTACTTCTTCATCTTTCATACCTGTTTACACCTGCCTTCTATACTCATTGTCTACACTAAAGATATTTAAGCCAGTCACATATATTATGAGAGAGTGCTGTAATCTTAGTATGCATCTGCACAAATATAAATAAAATCATTATTTACTTGAAGCTGCTTTAACAGTTATTAAAATTGAATATTGCTTTATACATTAAATTTACTAGAGAAAAAAATAATCTTGCTTTATCTGATTAAAAGCAAAGTTCTCACTGTTTGTAGAACATTAAATTTATTTAGAAATTTCAAGAACTTTTCTTCCAATTCCAATAAGCATATTTTTTTTATTAAATTTCACATAGATTATTTCAAGTTTACATAAATCATTTCAGTTATTCCTGGCATGTAGAGTAAATTACTGCATCTCTTTCTTAAGGCAGGCTATGAAAAGTAAAACCTTATTTAAACGTAGTTATATTTAACATGTTTAAAGCCAAAAGATGTTAATTAATATTTCTGGTACTATACTAGTTAATCACTAATAAACATTAATTATTACTTAATATCCCCCTTTTACAAAACAGCACCTTGTCTTCATTTTGTATACTACTGTGAGTAAAACCAGTTTTTTAGTAATGCCTGTCTCAGTGAAGAATTTCCATTGTTTTATTCTTGGCTAACAAAAAAGAAAATGAAATGGTTAAGAATCCTAGATTACACATGCAATTGCAAAATTAAGTATTTTCATCAATTTTTTGACAGTAAAAATAAACTTATTATACATGTAAAATCCCTATTCTATCAGTAATGCTTACATTAATTCCTGACAACTGACAATCCCTTTAACATGCAGTTTGAATGCTGAAAATTTTCTAAGACCCAACTCCAAAGCCTGAAATATTTATTTTGTTAATGCAGAAATTGAAAGTGAAGTAAAGGTATAGACAGTGGGCAGCAATAAGAAAATTTAAACCTTGCCTACATATCAGTAATTGAAATATTTTACCAGTTTAATTCATTATTTTTACCGAGTATATTTCTAGTACTGTAGAAAATTACACATAAAGAAAACATGAAAAAATGAGGAACTATGTCTGAAAAGTGTGTTTCAATAATTATATACCTTGTAATAGTTAATCATTTGCATTTACAAACCTCATATTAGGTAATTAGATATTTGGAATATATTCAGCAAACCGAATTTGAATTTCAAATTGCTTGTGTTCATTTAGTATTAATAATCTTGGGAAAGGCATGAATCCACTTTCCCTGTACTCTGTCCTATCCCCACATGTCTTTATAAAAAGAAAAGGTCTTGTCAATGACATACATCATGTAGATGGGATAAAATGGTGCAGAGTGAGCACTTGAGCAAACCACTCTCTTATGCCTACATTCAGGCGGTAGGTGTACTTGAAAGCTGTTACACCCATTGTCAACCTTGGCAAGTACTGGAGAGATTTGAAATGTTATTTTTAGCAATTCAGGGTGTTGTTAATTTGTTAGCTTCACATAAATAAAAAAAAACAAAAAACCAACATAATGGGGATGAATATATTATTTTTAAAAGTGACCAGAAAAATAACTCTTATCAGATTTGTACTTGTCAGTTAATGTATCTATGACTTCAGATTTTTTTTTTTTTTTTACTAAGACCCTGGATGGAGCATGGATGGGTGGCTGTTTGTGGAGAAAAATTTGGTTCCTGTTTCATTTTCTTTGACAACATGTAGATACAGAACAACTTAGCTGATTTCAATTGCCTAAAGATGTGTCGGGTTGCTTGCTTTCAGGTGTGTTTGCATAAAAATCTCAGTGTGGGTTTTCTTATGTGGATGATGAAATATATTTACTAAGTATTTGGTGTCACACATGCACACAAACTCACTCACATATGCATTGCATCTTAGATGCTGTTGACCTCAGGTTCACTCACACCTGGAGCAGTCCTATCTATGGGCAAAATAGATCTCTATGGAAAACTAGCTCAGTGACCTGCTTAGTTCACTGGGACAGATGAACCACTCATCTTTGTTAAGTCGTATGTCTTGGAGAAAGCACTTTGACAACAAAACAAAACCTGCGATTGATCGATCACATCCTGAAGGGACATGGCATATAAAAGACAATGGTTGCATTTAATGATAAAATAGTTATTCTTTTTGGGTAAATTAAATTTAAATGTTATTGTTGTTTAGTGAAAGGTGATATTCATACTGTGTCTTGAACTCACTGTTTCAAGCACAGTCCAGTGCTTGTTAAAAATAATATCATGAGACTGAAAGGATCTGTGTATTTAAAGTGCAATGACTGGTCATGGGTGAAAAAAAAAGGCACTCAACTTCAATGAAAGTTAATAAGTTAATAATAACAATGTAACAGGGAGTGTGGGTCCCTCGAAAAATAACATTCGTGCTGCACATTGGTGAACCTGTTCAATAATTAGATATCAAACAATAGCTATTTTCTGCTGAAACAGATTTAGAAAGTATTGAAAAGTTTTTTTCATTCAATTACAAAGCCATTAAAAAATAATTAAAATTAAAAATCTAATATTGGGTCAGGAAAATGGATTGGACAAAAAACTTTTTAGAATCATATAATTTAATGTTAACATCCACATGACTCCAATTTTAAAGGCTAGGAAGGAAACCCCCAGTACTAGAAAGAGCAATAACAGCTACTAGATTTGAGAAATCTATTTTCCTGAAAAATTGTTTTAAGAGAA